ATTTTAAATTTCACCGCGCTACGCTGATATTTTTGTCGGAATTTCGTTGACTTAATTTCATGTCCAATTAGATTGTATCGGATGATATTTATGTGCAAAAATCTCATTTATTTGTTTTTAATTTTTTATCTCTTTAAATATGCATTCGAAAATCTGACATCGCGGGGCAATTTATATCTTATTAAAATTTAAAATATTATTTTGCACTCAGTTATCTCTATAAAAATACACTTACGCATGTAAATATTAAACACATAAAATTAAATTTTTATAATTTCTGATTTTTCTGTTTATATGCGTTCAAGAGAATTTTTTCTTTTTAAAACAAATATAATTGATATGAGATTCATGGAACAATTTTATATTCCTCGTAATCAATATTTAGAAAAAAAGAGGAATCATATGTCATTTTATATGCGTAAAAAAAACATTATCATTTTATGCGTGCAAAGCGATTACATTTTGTCGGTACTTGAATTATAAATATCGTGTTGGCCGAGAGAGATGAAAATCGAAGAAATACGTTGGTCATGCTATCCGCATTGTTTCTCTCCGTGTATTGTGAATTAAATGCACATTAACCCTAGAATTGCGCGGCCTGCGATTGTAATCACGGCAGAGTCGCGTTAATTAAAGGTGCGCGGTCGTGCGCTAAACAATTCCCATGTATATTTAAGCAAATAACTATCGCATCTCATTTACATTACAATTTATACCGTCGATCTCTCACCATCCGTTTTCTCTCTCTCTCTCTCTCTCTCTCTCATTCTTTTTCTAGCTTTTTTTTACAGTATATCCGCACGTATTATTTGTAAATTATTGGTAATGCGATCGATCGGAATAAAAACCGGAAACGAGGATGAAGAGGATTTCACAGGATTTTATAGAAATAAATTAATCATCATGTAATCAAGATTGAAAAACAATTTTTCGCTACAATTCAAATGATCGGCAAACTGTCTCGAGTCTCTGGCGATCGAGTTTCGTCTTTACGGGTCATCGATTAACGAGGCAAGGCGATGAAAGAGTTCGATGAAATAATGATGGGACCAGGTCGATAAATAGTACGCCTCTCTGCCCATCTCTTTCTTTTAGGGGCGGATGATTCGGACGATTGGGATAGGGGGAGAGGGGGAGAGGAAGCCTTCGGGCCTGCGCTAATGCCAGCCGAGAGAAGACAGCTATCAAAAGCCCGTATTTAAATATTATCAATGAAATTACAGTGCTCACTGCTCCCACAGTCTGCTCGGTCATTACCGACTGGCAATTCGGGCTCTTTAATCGCCGTTGTCAATACTAATCGACATCGTCGTTATTTAATATGCTTCGTCCCATTTTTCTTTTACGGATCTTTGCGGAGCCATCCGCTGCGTTTTCGATTCTTTCCTTCATCTTTTCAACAGTCTTTGGGAACGTTCCAACTTATTCAACTTATCCGAAGGTGAAACGTATAGATTGAAAATTATATAATGCATTTATTGTTATAAATAAGTTATAACATGGAGATTATCCAACAGAAGTATACGTAACGTACGTATTTCAGAATAAATGAGCGAGTTTTATTTCTCTTCGTTACGTTATTTTGGCTCGCAATCTATAATGTCAATCTATATTACTACTATTTAATAAATTTACATAAATAAGCATTTCCATACTTTATATCAGCTAGCTGGAAAAACGGTCGTATTACGTAACAGGAATGATAACATAGCTGATAGTTGTTTCTCGAGTTTTTCAATTCATCATCGTCCGTTGGACGCGCGCTCGCAATTAGTAAGCAGTATGGCAAAAATTTTAATATCGGCATTGCTATCTGCATTAAATGCCATTAGCATACTGGCGAACAGAGCAGCGATAGAAGGGAGAGGGAATAATAATTAAAACCGCTATGATTGTTATCTAAATAATTAGGACTTGGCGTGACTCTCTGCGTGCCGCTGTGTGTAACGCAGACTGTCAGATGGTAGATTTCACGAAGCGCGGGCATAATTAGACAAGAGATATGAACATGAAATCCGCGTATTTAAATTACTGTTGCGAAGAAACCATATGTTCAAGTCGCCTATAGGCAGGACGAGTCTCGACTATATAGGAGACGAACTCTTACGCAATCTGTTTGAAAGTATACCTATAACTGTCTACCTTAGAATTATATCTTTTCATTTAGGATTAGAAATTGAATCATCAGCAGTTTACTCTTGATGAACACAATATAATAGACTCAAGAGATATACATAGTTGATGGATATTCGAAGAATTAAAGTTGTATGAGGTATCAAAAATAGTCTTGATATCGCCTTGTTTTATCTTGAAATTCTAGACTTTTAATTAGTTATCAAGACAATATTAAGACTTGTAAGATTGTTAAGATTATTGGTTTTTAAACTGAATTCGAAGAATTAAAATTGCATGAGATATGACTATGATACTAAACATAGTCTTGATATTGTTTTATTTTGTCTCGAAATTCGAGACAAGATCTTTAATTAAATACGATTTTTAATTAATTATGAAGACAAGATTAAGATTGTTAAGATTATTGGTTTTTAAATATATATATATTTATTTAGAAATATACCTATTTCTTTATTTAAAATCAATAATCTTAACAATCTTAATCTTGTCTTGATAATTAATTAAAAATCTTATTTAATTAAAGATCTTGCCTCGAATTTCGAGACAAAATAAAACAATATCAAGACTATTTTTAGTATCTCATGCAACTTTAATTTTTCGAATATCCATCAACTGTCTACATCTCTTGAATCTATTACGTATTAATACAATAAACATATAATTCCGGAAATTATATAATTAAAGAGAGAGACATATATATATATATATATATATATATATGTATATATATATATATATATATATATATATACACAAAACTTTTATATATACAACCTATGTAATATAACATCAAATTAAAAGTGACATTTCTAATAAAACGATTCTTGTAGGGTTGCACAAGATTCAAATTAAGATCATATTCATAAAAATATTGTATCGCAAATTCTCTAAAAGTTAAGTCTCATCTCAAATGAATTTTCATTGCATAGGTTGTATATACAAGTGCAAGAGAGACAGAAGATGAATCATATATGAAAAGGAAAGCAAATTATTAAAATATTTACTTTTTATCAAAGTTGTCAATAAGTCAGACGAAATTATGGCAGTCTACTTAGTACGCTTTCGAATGGATTGCATAATTGATTTATGAATATTTCATAAACCCCAGCTGTATATGATCGCTATTACAAAAAATCGTTAAACGAAACTTATTCCGTGCCTGAGAGAAGTTTTATTACGACTGGCATATTTGATTGCAACTTGTTTCATTATATAACACGTAGGTGCAAGCATAATTGTGTATTTTAAACTGATTCATAGATACAGGTATCTTACACACGTATATACGATAACTTAATATATAATTGAACTTCGTAAGATAATAAAATATATAAATATATTCTAGAGTAGAGCGTTATATATTCCTCAATAACATTTTATATATTTTTAAATCTTTTATCTATTCAAAAATTTTCTATCATTTAATATACAAAATGTAAATTGTAAAAATATTTTTTCCTTTTTTATTTCCTGCTATGCCTAAATAGAAAAACGGGGTCAAAAGGCGGATACGTGTCGGCACTGTCAAAGAGTTTAACCGCAAGGCACGCGAATCAGAGATGCGATCTGATAAGAAACGGAGCATCTCAGATTGCCGCGTACCAGCCCCTGCTGTGTCCACGCACCTTAAAGCACCATTCTCACGTGCGGCGACATAAGCGAGACCCACGTGCTCGGGATTCTCTCTCGCTAAAGACGTTATATTAGTATCGTTACATTAGTATTTTCGTGGATAGTTACATGTTTTATGTTTTCGCAAATTTTTTATTCCCTTAATACTTATAATACTTCCTCTGGTTCTTCCTCTAATACATTCTAAGTTTGAGAGATTGCAATTGATAGCAACCAAGAGAGAAATATTGCTTTCTTATAAACAATAATAAAGTTCCATTTTTATAATTATTGCCAAAGGCTATGCGCGAAGCCAGTAGAAACGAAGTGAGAGTCGTGATTATTATTTTATTTCTTTCACATGGTTGCAAGTTTTTACGAAATCAAGGAAGAAATAATTAATTTTTTAGATGTTGTCATAGTAGGAAGACTACGTGAGCTATCTGTATTGCGAAATCTGATTTCTCTCCACGACAGGAATGTAAATTACGTAAACAATTGTATATACGGCTAAGTATGACGTACGCTATGCCGTTACAACGAAACGTGTATGAGTGTGTACATAGCTTGGAAAGTAAATAATTACTTTCAAAGGACTGTTACGTCTTGGAAGTTGCATTAATTTCGCAGCGCCGTTCGATGATCCCGGTGGGATCACGTTCGAGCAATATCGAATAAAGACTGTGATTATATACAATACGTTGATGACGCGAACCTAAGAGCCGAGACCTATCCTGCGCGCGAGTTGGCAGGCAGCTTGAAACCAATCCGTATCGGAGTCGGTCCAGTCCGGTCTGGGATTAATCGGTGTTTTGTTCTGCGGCGAAGTGCTTATTAAGGCCATGCCTTATTAAGCTTCACGGGCATGCAAACGCGAACGGTATCCGTGAGGATAGATTTGATCACGAATGAAATGATGGCCGGCCATTGTATCAAGTCAGGTCTTATTATAAGCAATCGCGCGACCGGCAATAATTAAATTAATCGCGCCGGCGATATCTACGTTTCGAAATTAGCGCACCACGCGATTCGCGATTGTAAAAATGTTATCGAGCGATTTTTGCAAGATATAATTTAATACGTTCTTTCTTAATAAATTAAGTTTCTCGATATAAAGGAGAAGACGAAATTTACAAACAAATTTTTACAATAATTCTTGCAGACACTCTTCTTTATTCTTTGTCTTCTCTATCATCATTATGTATTATTATATGTTTAATAATGCACGTTTGGTAATTTTAATTTACCTCAATCGTTTAATCAGACTTTCTAATAATTTTGGCTACAAAAATAAGATTTATATGATCTTCAGTTTCAACGAGTTGCAGAATAATGTCGTGTATCCTTGTGCGCCTTCAACTGATATCTTTCACAGTACTGACGACCGCAAATATCACACTTGTACGGTTTCTCGCCGGTATGCGTATAAATATGATTCGCCAGCTTTGTCTTCACGCTGAAGCGCAGCTTGCAGAAGTCGCACTCGAATTGCTTTATACCGGTATGTCGATACCTGTGCACCTTGAGACCCCAGGACCTCCTGTAGCTCTTGCCGCAATCTTCGCATTTATAGGGTCTGATACCTGCAAATTGAGTTAGATTTATGCGATGTTGCTTATAATCTTCTCTCTTTTACATTTTGCAGTTTATCAGAAACCTAAAGACATTCATATAAAATGCAAAATATTTCAAACCTTAATAATGTAACGATTTGTTTAAAAGATTGAAATCAATTTTGAAATGACAAGTACATATTTTGATCGCGAATCGTACATTGGGTTTCTTTCTTAATCATCTTTAAAATATCGACATTGTAGGAAAAAAAGAATATATTCCTGTATAAGTTACATATGGATATATACAAATCATTCACTAACCAATAATTATCTCGGTATGCAAAGCATAAATCACAGACATACGATATTAATAACCGTAATATTTTTAAAGAAATCGTGGAAGGACAGATTTTTCAAGCAACAGGTCGAAGATTCGCGGCCGGAGAGGCGAAGTTGGCTCCTCCATACATTCACCTCGGTTAGACAGAGGTTAATTAAAAGTCCGGAATACATTTCCGCCGTGGAACGCCCGAGGTCATGCACAGAGATGAGCAGGTGTATTTAAGCGTGTTGAAGAATGCGTTTATGCATAATTATGTGTATGCTTTGCGAACCGAGCGCTACCGATTATCTCGGTACGTTCTTTTGTCCGGGATGATCGTTTCACAGACTAAACGCTTCGCTGGATTTATATGAGAAGTTGATGGTCCTCGGTGTCTCGAGGCGCGCGAAGAAAGAGAGAAAGAAAAGAGAAAAAGGTAACAGAGATACATATAAATAGCGGATCTCTGATCGGCAAAGAACAACAGAAGAACGTTCAGCTTCCTCATATCGGGTGAGAGAAGTTGTGAGAATATTCACAAGAGCTCACACACCATAATGCGCCAATATATGATGCTTGAGCGCGCCTTTCAGGTGGAAACGATGCTTGCAGATGTCGCACTCGAATCTTCTCACGCCCGTGTGCGTCAGTTTATGTGTCTTCAGCACCGACGATCTCTTGAACCTTGCCGGACAGAGATCGCACGCGAACGGCAAGTCCGCTGTGTGGACGATCATGTGAGTCCGGAGACTGCTGGACCTTGGAAAACCCTTGCCGCAAGTCGTACACTTGTGGAGCCTCGCGTTAGCGTGCATCAGTTTGTGATCGCGCAGCGATCGGTGGTGCAGCAATTTTTTCTTGCAAATAGAACACTCGAACGTTCTTTCTCGTGTGTGCGCTTCGACGTAGTGTTTCTCCAACGCACGTTTTTTCTGCGACAAAATCACGTATATAAAATTATTGTAAAATTTCGTGGATAAATAAATAAATTTTAAGCGACATGAAAAGCATTAGGATGAAAAATGAAGAGATATTTGAAGGCATTTAATTTTTCGCGTATCTTTTAAAACATTATTAGAATTTTATTACTCGATTTTTCTTATCGATTAGATTAGTGGACAGATTAGATTGATTGTAATTTTGCAACAGATATTTCACTGAGTATTCATTAAAATAAATACGGAGTAAGTACGGTAGTTTGTGCAGCAAAGAGTTCGAAGATCTGATATCAGGACGATTATTATGTTCGAATATGATTATATTAGCATTAACTACCTGAAATTGGAGCTCACATTGTCTGCACGCAAAAGGCTTCGGAATAAAATGCATATGCAGGTGATTCTTTAAGGTTGACGATCTTGATGGAAAAGGTAATTGCATTATTAGTAATAAACACTCTGTGTAGCAATGAAGGCCGTTTCAGGCCAGTGAAGATACAGCAATATCGGACTATATGTTTTAAACATCTATTATGATGTTCTGTGTTTTGAATATGTAATATATGGCAAATTTATACACATAAAAAAGATATCATTTTAATTAGATTTTATTCGTTTTTTTTTACTTTGGATAAATAAAACTGTCTTCTCTAATTATAACATGATAAGCTAAAGTAAAATTTTCTATCATTTCGTTATTGTTCATACCGTGAGAATTGCTTTCTGCAAAGTCCGCACTGGAGAAATTTTTCATGGCTGTGTCCAATCATGTGAATCCCGAATTCGATCTCGTTCGAAAATTCAATTCTGCAGACGCTGCACATTAAAAGCCTTCCTCTTGTCAATGCCACGATGTATTCCTTTAAGTCAGTGTACTCCATTTGTCTCCGAGAAAGCGAAACGCTTGCATTTCTTTGACAGTCCGATTTTGGGATCTGTTCGGAATTTTCATGGCGCGATACATTTTCCGATGGACGCGACGTCCTGACATGCTGCTCGATATCCAGCTCATCGTTGGCCGAAAAATTCTCAATCTCATCCAGAATCTCGGTCTTTATTTTAATCTTGAAAAAAGAAGAGAAAGATGAATGATTGAATTATCGCATAATAACAATTTCGTATCAAATAATAATAATATTAATAAAAGAATAATCTCTTATATTTTCTGTTTACTAACATACGAGATTTTTTGCTCTATACTCGTATAGAGCAAAAAATATTTTCGTATCTATCTTAATAAGTTTTAAAGTTTCTTCGCGTATTTAATTTATTATTACAGCAAATGTAGTTTTTTAATATTCATTAAATTAAGATATTCAAGATTATTTAATTATCGTCAGATTATCTAAATTTATTATCTAAATTGAATCGTATTTATATTTGAAATGCTCACGTATGGTGATTATACGTGACGTTAAATGCTAAATAGAAGTATAAGAAAACGAATGATCCAAAAATAAGAATGGACCAAAATATCATAGCACTTATAACCTAAATATACGAGGAAAGGCATACTTCATGGCATGTTTTGCAAGGCTTGTTACTACCGACGATCTCCAGATCCTTCGTGTCGGGAACGGCTTGATATTGCTGAGAACGATTGTTGATAGCGAAATTCTTACCCTCCATAATTCTCGCGGAGTATATGCATCCTATCTTGCTGGGAAGATTGTAAAATGTCGAAGGAAACACGGTAAAAGACACAAAACTAACGAGAAACAATCGAGAAACGATATCCGTTTGAAGCATAGATGGAAGATAAAAAAACAATTAAATTAAATATTAATTATATTAATATTATAATGTTTTTCATTATTATTATACATTATACAATTTTTTATTATATACTAATTATTAAATTAAATTAAATTCTTTATATATCTATAGTTCGAAGATTAGATTTTAATATCCTTCTACAGCAATTTAGAATAATGTATTTCACAAGTACATTTCCATTTTGTGCGAGAGATTATGAGAATTCTCTATAATTCCAGATATTATAATAATAAAAATAATTTATTTTTTTCAATTAGTGAATAATATCTGATAAATGTGAATTTAAAAGTCTATTATATATATCTATCTTTTTATTATGGATATTTCACTGATAATTTTATCTATCATTTTATTCTTTATTCTAAAGTAATGTTATTGAACTCAGCCTTAATGATTGCGGCGCACACAAATGCGCCGAAATGTTCGCAAGGTTATTTAAGAAATGGCGAGACGGGAGGAAGTGTACCTCGGCGGCAAGTTTATCACTTTATACTAATTGGCCAGTTTCGGCATTAATTTATGCGAATTATTAGTCCAATTATAAGCGCAAGGATCCAATTATGAAATCTCTCTCAGTGCGCCATAAATTATTTCTATTTTTTTATTATTTCTATTTCTTGTTTCCAGATGTAACTATGTTAACTATGTCCTCGCACGCTAATTAATTGCAAAAGTTGTTAAAGACAATCTAGCGTTTTTTTGCCGCATGAATAATGAGTGTAATTGCGACGAAGGGTATTGCAAGTATCAAAGTAAATATGTATAAGCTCCGAATGAGATAATTATGAGGGTTGCATCGTTGCTTTTGACTTAATGTCCTCGAATAATCGGAAAAGATGCAAAGATACATCTTCGTATATCACGTATACCATATTAAACATCGCGGGATCATCGACAATCTGTGCGAAGCCGCATATAAGTGATTATTTTAATATTCGCAGAATGACACGCCAATTTGGCTAATTAAGGTAGAAAAGAAATCCAACGGGGAGAGATAAGTAAGCGGAAGAGGTAAGTATATAGAATATTAAAATTCGTCACGGAACCGCAGTGGAATATTCTTAATTGTGATCTTGTACTGATATAAATATACGAAGCATCGACCATTCCGAGCTTTATTCAGCGTAATTAGCGGCCTATTGCCGGCTGCGCTCTGTCCGTTTGCATAAAATAGTGTAATTGAATGAAATTAGAGGAAACGAGTTACGCATAGTATTCCGTTTACTCGGAAAAAAAAGGAAGTATCGCACTACGAATAATTCTTGCGAGCATAGGAAGTGGCTTATTTATGATCCCTCCGCCCACTCTTTCCCTGCTTACACGCGTGCTTTTTATCTACCGCGACTAAACAATTAGATTTACAATGAGAAGTTCCAATGGAATATTTTTAAACTTAGACTACACAGTTGCAATCATTTTAAATTAATCGCGACTGTATGTATCATCTCTAACGTGTATCAGTTGGCAAAATGATAATTATGATATATATATTTTTATTCGGAAATGAGAATTAATTTAAAAAATATTCTTGCATTTTTTAATTTCGTTGTAATAATGAAGAATAAAATGGCAAGCACGAGAAAGCAATAGTGCATTTATAGAATTATCGAGAAAAACTGTCGCGACTAGTGATATCGAGTGAGATGATTGAATAATCAAGAATCTTATATTCTTCGTTTATCGAACGTATGATAAATGAGATAAAGCCTTAGATAATCATTAGCCTAGATTTAGATAATCATTAGGTAAATCCCGCGTCTTATATCGAGTGTCAAGAATGAAAATATATTTATTCGTAGTTGCTTTGAATTTCGCTCGCGGTTATTTTTCTCTTGATTTTACCCTCATTTTTATTGATGTGAATAAAAAATTTAGTAAATTCTTCATTGGAACAGACAGACTCGGATTCGTGTATGCCATCGATGCTTGCAAAAGGGCTCAGTATTATTAAACTTGATCATGAGAAACATATTCTACGATGAACTAGGCAATTGTCTCTGTAAATTTGTCATGACATCTTTTAGAACTATCATTGTCCTGGAAATATTACAAGCAACTATAAATGCTAAACATTTATAATTAAAATTTGAACATCAAAGTATTAATGATATACTTATATGTATCGATATTTTTCTTGGAAGTGTTCTATTGTTTAGCATTTGAAAATGTTGAGGAAAGAACTCTAAAAAATTTTAATAAGTTTAATTTATATGAGAATTGAGTTTTCTTTCCTATAAATTTTCCTTTGGATTTCAAATAGAATAAACGGAAATCTTCTTTCTGATTTTGATATTTAAAAGAGCTTTCAACAAAATTATAAATTAAATAGTTTTCAAAGAAAGTGATCTGATTGTACTCATCATCAACTTAAATATACAAGCATCAAAGTAAATATATATTAGATTAACAATTGAGATAAAAAATAAGAAAAAAAAATATTGATTTTGATTCTGTGATATTTTTTACAATATAAGTCGTTATCTTTTTGCCAATGAATAATTTTCATCATATCGTACGAACAATTTTATCGTGAACATTCTCTTTTGTTGCGCATTACAAATCGCATTCATTGTCTGCTTTTCCGCTATTTTCCCACGGCGATTTCTTGCCGTTTAGCTCCTCGACTTCGACTTTGCATCTCTTCATGTGTCTTGCCTGATGACAACGACGTCGCGCACGCGTCGCAAAAAGCACCTTCGAGATGCATCTTCTGAGAATGGTCCCCGTCTATCGTGCAAATAAATCCGCGACGACGCATGATGCGCGCTCGCTCGCGGGTTGATGCATTATTTCATGGAACTGCGACGAGGCAACTGCATTTGCCACGACATCGACAGGGAGAAAGAGAAAGAGAGAGAGATGGACAGAGCGCACGAGCGGGCGCGTGTGGGAAACTCGTCAGATGCATTATGTATTTATCGCTTTACTTAGTTGGGAATTACTTTGCCATCGTAATGACTTTTAGGTATAGCGTGCGCTATCTTAGGAATGCCATATCCCTGATTTATCACCCGGATCTCGTTTTTCTCGCGGGTCATTTTGTCGCTAACGCCGATACCTGTCCAGCATCCGCGAGCGTCATCGACAACCGGAGCCCGACTTCGCCGAGTCCATTGACCTTCTTGGGCACGACAGTGCCGAATTGCAGTCACCGGATTACGCAAGTTGAAAGAACTGTTGCCGATCTGATAAATCGTCTTAATTCCTCGAAATTCGTGCCACCATTGAACGCTTTTTTTTCCAACCAAGTGCAATCAGTGTCGCTTAAAACTTGAAAATGAGATTTCGCAGCAAAATCATTACTTGAGAAACATTGATGTAGATCACTGAACAAAGTCATTTGATTTCCGATATACAGAATATTGTAGAAACAATTCAATGTGCTGTATTTTAGAAATAAGTGTTGCCATTGTCTCGATAATTATTTATCGATAAATAATTCGGGATTACAAGCGGCAAAAGATTTAAAGATTCTGATGAATTAGACTACAATTTCTAGATAAAGTCTCTACGTTGATTTTTGAATTGGTTGAGCGATGAATTAACAAGCAATATTGTTCATATGTAGAATCAGAGTTTAATCTCCATCTCGCGATCGATGCACGGGACGTCTATGTCAGGATTGTATCTGCACGTGCTGCGTTTCGCACAGATTGCCGTGCGGATAATGTCGGCAAATTGAATATGTAAAACGTATCTAGCATTAATGAACTAATTACAACGAAGATATATCCATGGGCGGCGCCGACATCGAGACGCCGACTTTAACGCGGATATCGTCGAGCTCGACAGACTAAAGAAATCTTTCTTTCTTCATGCAATTGTTTCGTTAATTGCCTTTGGTGGTATGCTTACATGCATGAGAAAATGTAATAAATATTTGTGATTAATTATAATGATACAGAAGGTATGCTAGTATTTCAGGAGAGAGAGAGAGAGAGAAATATGAAAGAGAGAGAGAGAGAGGAAGAAAACAAGAGCGCTTTTATAGGTTCTTCTAATTGAACGCATGTATCGTTTTTTGCCGTGAACAAATCATTTTACGACCGACGGTACCTTGTGAATTAACGCCTGAACTGTGAAAAGTGTTTTACACGTACGTTTAACGCGATTGATTGTTGAGAATAATCTTACAAAAGATTTCATTGATGTATCGTAGAATATAACTGGAAAAGAACAACATGTGTCGTACATTTAAATAGTTAAGTTTTTTTTTCGATAATAATAATAAATAATATAATTATATATTTTGCATAACACATATATTGTAAGGTAACATTAAATTAGTTCTTTAAAACGTTTATATCTATCCATATAAGTTTTGCCATAATTAAAATTCCTTGCATAATTAGATGATTGCAGCCATTAAAAAATGCTGAAGTTGAGCATGTAATTAGTTATAAGAGCATATAAGAGTTATTATAAGAGAATATAATTAGTTGTAATCATATAAGAGTTATAAGAGAATATAATTAGTTGTAATCATAATTGGAAGCGCGTTTAACTAGCGTTGAGTTTTCAAAGTTTACATTTCATTATTTATTTAAATATATGCGAGGATAAAATAAAGACGATAAGCATACAAGAATATTAAGAACGTATGTAATGTATATTAAATATCATAAAAATGCAGAGATAATTCACTTTGTATTATCTTATCTGCGATATTATTTCTCAGGCGCATTTATATGACGACTGATGATAGCATATGAAAAAGAAGTCGAAAAAAAGGAAACGCTATCATATTTCTTATCCGATTAGAATTGAATAAACAACACGACCAGAGGTATAAATTAAACTTAAGAGCAAATTCCAATACATCTATATCATACGCAAATACACATGGATAAAACCTGGCACTTCTTAATATTTTTATTTCTCATGAGTTTATTGAATGACCACACTATCATGGCATTATCGATAAACCTAGATAATTTTATCGCGTCGCAATAATCCCCTTAACTTATGCACGTAGCCTCAATATATTATTCGTTTTTTATCACGTAGGGTTATGTTTTTCAATAAAATAAATTGTGAATATTTAATGTTAACAAAAAGAAAAATGTGACATTTTAATCTGATTGGATTATGCATTTCATGTGACAATTGGAGGACTTTCAAAGTTCTAATAATTTTATTTTTATTTATATATTATAAATTATAGAGAAATTAGATGTAATAAATCAATTTAATCAATAAAAATCAATAAAAAATACAATGTCTTCTAATTATAAATATAAGTGATAAATTTACATCCAATATTATTAATATACGCAAGAATTAATGGATGATTGCAAAGTGCAGAATTAATACATAAATTACAGTTTTAAAAAAATTTTATATTGTACAAAAATTTATGTTATTAAATTTATGTTAAAAATTAGGTCTTTTTAAATCTTTAAATGTTTAAAGCAAGAGACTTGTTCGTAAAAAGGGTTAAAAATATTCGCTGAAATGCAGAACCGCTAGGGTTGAAAAGAGTATTATGTCTTCCAAGAAGGATGATGATTTTCTCGAACGTTTATAGGCAGATATGCGTGAAAAAGGAAGATCCGGATGAGGAATTTCCCTGACGTCGTCGATAAATCAACTCGCGCGCGATTCGCGACCGTTCGACGACACAATGAGAAAACTGTTCCACGCCACGACAGGGTATGTCATTACTGCGTTACTTAGAAAGCCCCTTCGCGGCCACGCGCGCCGCATACAAATGAGATCAGGTCCGTCGGGGACGCGCGGCCAGCTATTACAAAACCTATAGAAAAAGCGACCTATCCGGCACGTCACGTATGCAAGGATACGCGAAGGAACTGAATCGAGCATTAACATGCACGTTGAATATTGATCGATTGATCGATCCGTGGAAAACGCGAGTTTCTTTCGCGCCTGGAATCCGCCTGCGTTTTCATCATCCCGGATGTTCTTGAGGAAGATGAATCGTTGTTATAAGACTGTAATTATTAACTGACTTTTATTCTCATAACTTCTGCGATATGATCCGGTTATGCTTGAAGAAATTTAAAACATGAATTATTTCCAAGCATGAATCTCTCTACGAAAATTCTAAATATTTTCTACATACAACAGCCTGGGAAAGAGTTTTACAAAATTTCAAAATTTTATCGACTTCAATTAATTTAATTTATATAGAAATTGGTCTTTTTCCCTCTGTAATACATTAAAAAACAAACACTTTCTTTAGAAATTTTTCGACAAAGCCATAAATTAAATAATATCACTTAATTATAAATTAATTAAATTAAAATTGGAAGTTAAATAATATAATTATAATTAAAATTACATTAATAATATATAAAAGTAAATGTTAGATTGAAAATTAAAATAAAAAATAAAAGAAAAATTGCGAGAGTCCTCATCGCGCTGCGTCAGCCACTAAGAGATATGGTTTGCGTAAGAATCGCATTCGAGGCTGGAGAATCATCCTTCCTCATATTCTTTTTCCGAATGGTAGGTCTCGGTACGCGTCGAGAAATCCCATCGAGGTGGCGACGTCGCTCCGGCCGACACCTATCTCATAAATAATCTCGACATCGAAATTCGTTTGACGGACCCATCGATCGGCGATGAGTTTTTCTCCCATCCCCGCGTCCGGCAATTGCGACGTGTCGATGTTGTACGCGCCAGCATCCCGTTCGACAGGTTATAGACGCCCTTTAACATCCGGCAAATACGCCGGTTTCTTCGAGCGAGCAGAGAACCGAGCCGCCGATCTCGTCTATAATGTCGACATGTCTTGCAGCCCTTACCCGATCGGCGGGGTTGAAGATCCGCCGAGAGGAAGAAGGATTCGCGTCTCGGTCCGAGGACGAGTTAAACGGGCCATCATACTGTTTTACGCCAAACGCGTATAACATCCGGACCTATCTACCGAAATCCTTCGACCACCCACTGATCGAAGAATAAAACGAAACTGTAAAATATAAATCCTCGTATACTGAAACAACGATCGCTTGGTGGATGCACGGGATGCCGTGAAATTATTACTGAGCTCCCATAATCCGATTCAAGTCGAATCAATATCGATTGATGATTTTTTAGCTATGATTATCTGATAACAAGAATGATTTGCGATTAATATTTTAAAGCTTAAAAAATAAATAATGAGGAAAGAGTTTTATCTCCAGTTCTTAAAGAAATGTACATAGTAACCAACTTATAATTAATGTCGACGATTGAGGACTGTATGAAGAGACACCGCCCAATTAAAAAAGATAAAAGAAACGCTGATAGTTCCGGCACACCATGTATGAGTATATGTAAGGGTGAGTTGTGCAGGGATATCAAATCCCTGGTTGGAAGTTCACCGACGGAAGAAGCCCGCTCTGTCGCTGGCACCGACGCATTTCTGGATCGGTAAACTTTTCAACGGCACCCCAGCGAACTTTGGGATGTATACAACGTAAATTGCTTCTGGAGCGTAATAATATCGCTTGAAGAAGAATGGAAAATATTATTTAGAGATAATTGAGATAAAACGCAATTTATTTTTCACTGAGTCACTCTAGAAGAACATAATCCCGATTATTGGCATCGATATTAATTCTACAATTGTCATAATAATTATGACAACAATAACACTCATTCCTCACTGTTCTTATAATTATTAACAATTATTATAATTGTAACATTATGCGTTATCGTTATTGAAAGTGATTTTTCAATTATTGTAATAATACCATGGAATATTTCTGTTGCCGAGAAACACAAAAATTATAAACCAGTAAGTTTTGAAAAATGTTTAGATTAGAAGAAGTGTTTGTTTAATACTTGAGAGAGAGACAGAGAGGGGCTTTATTAATTTTATTATCCAACGAATGCAATCAATCTAATCATTCCAAATAAAAAAAATTATCGATAAGTATATTCAGTTTTATGCATTTTTATAGCCGATTAATATCAAACGAAAGTTATCTCATTATGGATAAGATACTTGTCAAAAAATATTACAGTATAAAAATATAACGTATTGCAATTAATTATGTTGTATTAATTATTATTGTGATAAGTATATCAGAAAGCGAATATCATATATATTAGCACAAGAAATATTTAAAACCTTTAACTTTAGAGGTCTTTCTATATGATTTTCTGATTCATATAATTTACAAACCGAAATTTTCATCTACATTTATAGTCAAGCTTCGTCTATGTTCAAGCCGGAAGAAAAATTTGCAATTTCTTTTTGTATTCTATCATTGGGAAAGAGATCATGTAATTTTATGATGCGTTCGCATTAATTTGGATGCGGATACCGCCCGTCGAATCATGTGCATATATAAAAAAATGGAGCAGACACATTCTTTGAAATCGTTCTCTCATGCATCATCTTACATATTTATGGTGGTTCTAATGAGCGCCAGCATCTAAATGCGTACGAAGGAATCCGCGATCGAGTGAGCTATCCGACAACGTGAAGCCAATCCGCATTCTCACCGTATTACGCATCATGGCGAAGCTGAAGAAAAAAAGTGCTACGAAACGAGCCGTAAATCCATCTATCATAGCTGCATCTACTAGCGTGAAATTAAAGGAGTATGAATATTAGATATGTGCGACCGCGTATCATCGATGACATCTATGTTTAAATATTTCCTCATGGAGAGAGGAATGTTTTATCCATACTTTTTATCATCTTAATATATTTATCACCTTATACATAATTAAAGAATTCATTAAATATTCCGAGTTGAAATTTTCCTTCTATTCTCAATCTCAATTTTCTCACGTTTATGTATTCTAAAGGATTTCGCTAGACTTATTATTTAGATTTAATTAATTTATGGAAATTGGATATATTTTTAAGTTTAAAAGAAGAGGTTTGAAAAAAACTACAATTCAAAAGAGAATCTTCTGATTATTTAAAATATCAAAATAGACATTGGATTGAAAATTGTGATTGAAAGTAGTAGAAAAATTTCGAGTCGAGTAAGGAGAAAGCTCGCTTGAGATGAAGGTAATTAACAATAGAATAAAAAAAAAGAGAAATATTTTTCGAAATCTAGTTTTCCTTATTTAGTCACTTGGAATTGCTTCATATTCATTGAATCGGCAATTACCGGCATATGAATTTTGCGCCGCGAGATATCAGATTTCTACGAATAGAAATTGCAAATTTTCTGCTTTTCCGTACCGATTGCCTTCACGCGTGCGTAATTTTTATTTCCCGCGGGCATAATGTAAATCTTTAACTCGCTCATCTCTCTCTCTCTCTCTCTTTCTCTCTTTCCTTATCTCCCTCTCTTGCGTTTGTTCCTCTTTTGCACGCTTTCTATTACTTTCTATCGCGCTGAAAGATTTTCCGCGCGCGTTCGCGGGTAGATAACGGCGTTAAATAATTTCCACGCGGGGACGGAAAGTACTTTAAGCCAGCGCTATCTGCGGGTCGCGCCAACAAAAGGACGAGAGAAATCGTTCGACAAGAAACCGATGAAGGGTTTATCTTAATCCACGGTTCACCGAGCAGACGAGCTCCTCGCCCAATACCTGCCGGACCACCCCTTTCATCGTTTATGCCCGTCCTCTCGCACGTAACCGATCACACTTCGCTTGTTTTACTACATATTTTTTGCTGGCCGGACCACTTATAATCCGAGCCGCGTTTGTAACGAGACGGATAGGGAATCGCTTTTTCTATAAAAAGTTCCCAATCTCAATGTTTTTGTCTAAATCTCAATCGTTTCTTTCTTCCGCTTATTTTCTAAGAAGTTACAACACATTCTTATCGCGTTTTCGATTTATCGATCATTATTTTACCTCAGTATTTTTTCTCAAACCCGAATGCGTTCCTTGATACAATTTAACATACTAAGAAACGTCTCGGGTAATTAAAACCATTGCATTGCAATCGCGATAGGCTCCAGTAACGGCAGTAACTCTCGAGAGGCTACAAAAAAGAAAAAACCGGCTTAAATGTTCTGTGACGTTCAGACCACTTCCGGAAACCATCCAATTCTGAATTCTAAATAAAAACACTTAACGAAGTTATTGGCCGCCTTCGGTCGGTCGTCGGGATATCGTTGAAAAACACGAAGAACGACGAGGTGAACAAACCGATCAGCTGATCCCGCGCGCGGTTGGTTGACGTTTTCCCAGAACGTTACCATTTCACACTCGCGGGTGGCGGAGACGGTGCGGCAAAAATCCGGATTGCGAAGGAAAGTCCGACGAATCGATTCTCGAAAGGATGTCACCGTTAGTGTTGCCGAGGCTATGGATGAACGCGAACACTTGTAACACCGTGTCCGCAGCGTCACGTGCCCGGGTGTTGCTGTGACGAAAGATCCCCGACGATCGCAAAAAGCGGGCCGGAATAAAAAGCCGATCGGGCTCGCGCTGTTCCTGAAACTTGGGGGAAAGAAGAGGGAGGTTCTCCGCCATCGAGCGCGCTATGGAGAAACATTAAAGCGAGAACTCGTCGTTAGATCGTGAGATTTGCGGTCGGACGGTCCGCGCAGTCCAGCATAGTTCTTGTCCTCGATAATCCTTAGTCAATCATTTATCGCTTCTTCTCGTCTTCGTAGCGTGAATCGATTGTAATTCTCTCTCGCTATAGTTTGTCTACGCGAACAATATGGTTCACAAGAGAGCTAAAGAATATTATCAGTGGTACATTTAATTCTTTACTTACGCAGATAGTTGGCGACTTTCTTTCGCCAAACTGCGTGTAAGTAAATCATGAAAGTGTCTCATCAGCTTGTTCGAGACGATTAGAGAACCACCAGGGTGTACACGTTAAGTGTAGCCCAGATCCCGCGGAACGAGCATACCCGGCTCTCTCTTGATCAGATACATAGTCAGCATGACTCTGCGATCCGCACCCTCGACCACCGACGGTGTCCCGCTGACTATTTATCTTGTTACATCGAAGTGATCCGATTCTAACAGGAGATCAATGACGGTTGACCACCGCGGCTTCCCGGCTTCTCGTTGCATGCAACTCTTCAGAGAAAAGTAACAGTGACAACAGGCTTGTCGAATAAATCGAAAATTGTTGATGTGTACCATCTTCTTATATTTTTCCTGCAATAAAGAAAAATGTTTTATTTAATTAAATGATCTTTAATTAAATATTACAAATATTGAATGTACAAAGATAAATTATTACATGATATGACTTTGCTCTTTCATTGTATTCTGACTTCATCGAGCACACGCTGATGTACTTTGTACCTTGATACGAAGATCAGTGAATCATATTTAATTAATTACAGAATATATAGAAAAGATTGTATGAGAAATACATCTCGACTCACATATCTTTTCAATCAAACAGCCGGATATATAAGGCGATCAGTCGCATAATACCCGATGGCAATGAATCAATAATGCAGGAACAAACCTTTCGAAATGGCGATATAACGTGCATGCAGACACTTAAAGCGGGCGATGGAGGCCATGTGTTACCTAATAATTGTGTGTTCGATAGTCACCCAACAAATATTTATTGCTACTTACTGGTCGGTGAATGTAAACGGACCGTTCTAATGGAGAACACCTAATTTCGCCCACGCTGTCGCGCGAGAAAATTAATTCGGTCTGTATATCCATGGGTTTTCTGATAATATCAGTATCATCGGAAATATTTTCGTGAGTCATCAAGATCTTTTTAGCTGAAATATATACGAGAAATATAATGATTATGTTATATACATATATCACAATTATATAACGTAATAAATTTTTGTTATTTTTCGAAAAAATTCCTTGCACAAGTAATTTTTAATACAAAATGGATTCAGAAGTTGAGAAGGAGATAATATTCTTGTGTAAAAATATAGAATAAAATTTTCTTGCACTTTATTTTTGAGAAAAGCGATTTCAAAAATTGAGATTATTCACATATTTATGCTTTTTTTTTAAGCTTGAATAATTTTTAATGACTTATTCCTATTTATTTTCATTCAGTTTATCTGCATCTTATTTTTATTATCAACCATCTACTATTCGTATTGTTATGCGAAATATACCGCGTTGATTATCGACAAACTACGAGACAATTTCCTTTGGACGCTAATCAACTAACAGCATCAGAGAAAAGTACACGACAAGTCGGGATAATATGGATAAACAACGGCGAAAATGCTAGGGCGGATAGAGGCAACAAGAACCGGAACGCATGTCAGTCTGTCATCATCGCCGAAATGTCAGTAGGTGTTTGGCCAGGTCGCTAATGTAATATTGTTTGCAGGAGTATCGGATGTAGACAGCAAGTAACCCGGCAAGAGAATCGTTAAGAAAGTCTCTAAAGCTTTGCAGCCAACAAATATACCATATTTCTCTGATCGTCGAAAATTTCTCTCACAAAACCTAATAATACCTAATATATAGAATACCTTTTTTTACTACTATACACTAATTATTGTATGTTTCTTTCTGTCTATATGTTTTATTATATATTCATATAATATGCTTATTTTTTTATCGTAAACTTAGGTGCACTAAATTAAAAAAAAAAGACAAGACAACTATAAATAGATATCTTCAGAAATGGATCTAACAATAATGCTTGAACAATCATCACAATTATAATTACGATACCTCGCGTCTAAATTACCGAACACTATAAAGTACAATCCAGCAAATCACATGTGTTGCTATCCAGCTGTGCCGTATCTCTGCTATGCTCATCGTGCCATTCAATTTACACGGATATGATATGTTCCGATTAATCGCAGGCGCTAATTAACTTATCGTTCGCGCTCACACCGGAAGCGAATCAGGTGTATATACATGGAAATCATAAGTCTGTATAATCGATCAAGGGAACGTGTGCATCGGGCATAAATTGCTCCTACATTAATGAAAGATCCGAGCACGTGCAACGTTCCCTCGAGCATACATTTTCTTGATTTCCAGGAAAAAGGAGCGAGGGCTTGTTAGTCATTATTGTCTACACGACGTGTCGAACCTGTTTCTGTTGCTTCGTGTTAGGTCCCATTAGACGAGCAGCTTTGTTCCGACACCGCTCGAATCGGGGTGTTAAATGAACGATAAAGTTACTCGAATATTATCACATCATCATATATGTAATGATACATTTTACATTCATTATGAAGGAAGGATACGACGTTCTTGCCAGATTACAGATTATTCGAGAACGGGTTGTGAAAACGAGATACGAAAGATAGAAAATTATGTAATTTTGTTTAAAATGTATATTTCTCTGTCAAATTTTTGCTCCGCTAAGAAACAGAAAATTACAGATGTACCATGAGTTTCAATACTTTCGTATATATATATCTAATCTTTTGAATTAATATACGATAATATTATATATTTCGAATTAATTATAATATACACAATTATTCAGAAAAATATATAATAGTGTTTATTTAAAAAAAAGAAATTTCCTTGATGTACCCCTTTAAATAACACGCATGAGAGATATATTTTGCTTCATCCGATTATTAAATATACTCCAGTATGAAAAAAACAATATATGTATATTTTTATTTAAAATATTCAGATTTTGATAATCAATCTCTTGCAAACATAAAATCTGAAATATATCTAACTGCGTTACGTACTTCCACATGTCATGTTCATAATACTATCGTAAAATTATACAAATGCGTTGGCTGATACGGTTGAAACAATCGGAATGTTTCCATCAGATTTCAAGTCTCCTCTGGTTTAAAGATAGGATTCTTTATCCTCTCAATTTTTGCATAAATTTGCAGCTCTTGAATTATACTAATAGTTACACAAGTGTTACAAACTTACTATGTAATACCTTCATGATCCCGAGCTCCAGCATCGTAGATCCGTAGACCGCAACGTTGAACATCGGTGACGGATTTTCGCTTCTTCTTCGTTTGCCAGATCATTTAATGGCTCTGCTTCTTTCCTATGCCGTTCCGTCATCGACTTCCGGACGTGTCCGCGGCCAACCGTTTCGCGACGCTGTAACTCGTGCCAATCGATGGCAGATTTGCGTGACCGCGACGTAAAATGCATTCACGGTACCTCCCATTTGGATTTTTGCGGTTCGGCATTTTAATGTCTCGCGCACGATCATTCAGCCGAAGTCGTTTCGTTCTCTGTAATTTACCGCCCCGACGACTGGCCATCTCGTAGTTCGCACGTGCTGCAGATAAAACCAAATGTTACGTTAAAATACATTAAGCAATCTACAATTATATTTTATAGGAAGGTAAAGAAAATTTTGTCTAGCATCGCGATATATTCTTGATATTTATGCAAGATCATTTATGATTTATATTAATTTATCAGAAATCATTTTTCAGTAATAAATAACTTTTCTCCTGACTTTTGATACTACTATATCTTAATAACTTTAAGAGATTTTTTTAATATATTGTTTAAAATATATAAAAAATCCCTTTTTTGCTATCTCTTAAAATTTGCTAAGATATAGTAACATTAAAAAAAAATAATTGTAAGTACCTCAAACTATTGCATCTAACTATAATAGGCATCTAACTATAACAGGTGTGCATAAAAAGGATAATCAGTTACTTAGAAAAAAAAACACGATTGAGCATGAAAAGCAAGTTGCTTTTCGATCCGGATCGCTAACCGTTAAAAATTAAATTACTACGTATTTTATAATCGCGTCTAGCGATCGATTAGTCACGATCGTAGATCAGTGACCGCCCACATAGTCGAACGGATTATAAATACGGCGCAACGGTTACTTCTGAACTACTTCTGCCAATTCGTGCTCTCTTCAATTTAAATCATAATTCTTGATAGCATCTACAACAGTCATCGCATATGATAGCGTTAATAATACCAAAGTAATACATTAATTTTGTTTTAAGCGCACGTAATTGCATTATAATTACATTTCCAGATTTTATATAAATATTAAATATAAATGCATATTATATTGTGTATAAAAATATATAATAAAATGTTTTTAAATGTTAATACTCCTTTCAGACACAATAATTAATATCACGTTGTTTTCAATTACAGATGACTCTACAAAAATTAATGAAACATATTCTCAGTGTATGAATGCATCGCGAGCTTATCGTTGATTTAATTACTTCCCACAGGCGCTTATGACCGGACACGCTTAATATTCTGCAATCCTTTATCTTTCATTAATTTTTCTCTGGCAATTATTCAGGTGACTGCATAAATAATTACAGTAGCACTCTCGCTCGGTTTAGCACGATAAATGGCCTGTCCGATCGTTATCTCAGTTTGATTAACATTTGATTAAGCGTCGATTATTCAATTACGAGAAAATATTCCGTTACGCTCAATTGGGTTCTCACACATGATAAGACGAACGTTAAGTAATAGCTCGCTAAAATGATTATACATATAAGTAAGCTAACAAGTAATACATATATTAAATAAACTTACGAGCCAATCGAAAATTTTTATTGATATCGAGATTTCAATATCGATGATCAAATATATTTCAATTAAAACATCTTTCAATTAAAACATCTAAATACATATTTTAATAAATAAATGTTATTTTAACGGACATAATTCTTGTTTAGCTATATTACACCTATCTCATCTATGAAAATGACGATGATTTTTTTCAGATCTCTTAATTGTTATATTACATTAGGATGATTTGAAGGTTCAACGAAGAGAACATAGTCGTTTCCGCGAATATAATTCCTATATCATAAATAACAATTTCGTGGACTTCCGGACGGACCCCCGTTTCCCGTAAGAAACCACAGAGACCCGACAGGAAAGATGATTGGCGAGTGAAAGGGAGAAACGAGTTTATCCGAGAGGGTGGAGGCTCCCTCCTCCCGTTTCTCAATCCCCCGCTGTCGAACGCGCGATGGGAATAAAATGTGAAACTGTAAATTGTGCGTGGGAAGAATCGGTCCCTGGGCGGTCGTGGTGGTCGACCATGCTTTTCGGTTGGGGTGGCCGGAGGTGGAACGACTAACGGGGGCGGAAGGATGAAACGCGAACGGAGAAGGATCGGTTCGAGCGGGGCGAGGATCCTCGAGGATTTAAATGCGCGATCGAACGAAGGGTGGCCGAGGGGTATCTCTCATAGATCGGGAGGGGGAAGGTTAGAAATTTGTTAGGTTACACCGGACTATCACTCCCCAGTGAATATGAAAAAGGAATTCCTCGCGAAATTTTCGAGGGTCGACGAGGATCTTCGAAGGTGGAGGTGCGGTATGTTGGCACTCCTCCTTCCTTTGCCCCTCTGCGGAGGAGGATTGAGAAGACGGTAAGGGGTCGGTGCTCGGAGGATGGGAGGGATGTAACACGGTGCCAGGAATATAAAGCGGGGGATAAAGGAGATGGCGGTCACATATGCGACTCGTAAAAGCTCTTCTGAAAAGCTGCATCCGTCCTGCCACCGTTCCTCCCTTCCCTCTCCCATCTCCTCTCTTCTTTCTTCACGACGATTCCGTCGAAAACCTGGCCTTCGCCATTCCAATAACGACGTGCTCTTTCGCGCTCTTTCAACGTCGCCGTTGACCACAAAAATTTAGCATTCGATAGTGCGATTTAACGTGATGGCGCGAGGTGTATTTGCGTGCGTGTCATTTTGGCAAGTTGCTCTCATTTATTCTCTTCTATTTTATGATTGCCAATGACATATATAAATGTTTGCGTTTCAGTTTTAAAGAAAAGAAATGATAAATATTTTTATATGTAAAAAAATTGAAACTATTTTAGAATCGATATTATTTTTAACGTAATTTTAAAATATTGAGATGGAAAGATGCAATTTAGCGCATTTCTGCAGCATGATCGTTACATAGCGACAGATCCCGATAACATCGCTGAATATGGCGTTTCTATGGAAACATGGCTTGAACCCTAGTTTATCATTCGATATCGGCGAATATTAAGAAATGCCGTACTCGAGCGGCATTTCCGTACATTTGTGGACGGAAAATGAGCCATTCGTTTGCCGGCCGGAACAAGGTACTGTCCATGCATGGCACGAACGCACCACCATTCAACCGTCCCATAAATAATCGTCCTCCTCGTTTAGCCTAAATCTTTTGCTCTTGGTATCAACCTTCCCTTCCTTTTTCCTTTCATCACCATCTCACTTACTTTTCTTTCTTGATATGTATATATTTAACGATATAAGTTTTTGTACAAGAACTATACAAGTCCGTTAGAATAAAAAATATAATCAAGATGAAGAATTTTATTTATAATTTATTCTTATTTTTCGATACAAAAATGATATGCATTTCGATGGATAATCTTACGAAACTTACAGTCAAAATTACACCAATTTTGACAATTAAACAAATAAAAAAATTTTATTGCATGAATATCAATATATTTTATATATCATATATTAAAATAATAAGAGTAAATTAAAATATTTGAAAAATTGCACATATTTGTTGTAATAGAGAAAGAAACATTTGCACTTGCTTAAAAAAATACTGCTTATTCCTTTTTTTTTCTTTTGGACTATTCTTTTAACCTTCCACATAAATGGTAAGTTACAAAAAGCATCTCGTTTTGAATGCGACTGCTTTTTGCGGTAGTACTGGCCAACGCTTCCAGACAATTCTTGGCGGGTTTGTCGATCGTTTAATCGTCCATTTCCACCTGTCAGCCGGAGTCGATGGAAGCACAAAGGCGATCTCTATCCTGAGGAGAAACTCTGGCAAGAAAGCGAGGCAACATTCGGCTAGGGGAGGTTGCGAGTACGGACAGAGTAAGGGAAGAGGATGTACGGGCACGGCAAGAAGAAGTCTGACATTCGAGGAGTCGACAAAGATTATGAAGCGCATACTGCGGCGAATAAAAATGGTTTCCGCGGCGGGAGAGAAGCGGAAAACAGAGACATTGTTCGTTGCAGGGAGTTACTGGAGGATGCTCTATAGGGGAGTGAGATAGAGGGTGGCTAGTCTGCGATAAATCGCGGTTAGCGCACAACGTATAATTTTAGAACATGACATCTTGTAACTCATTATTATCGTTCTTTTTTCGCGATAAATAAAAAATCTCTTTCTTATATGTATAAGTTTCTTTCAATGTGTGAATATGATGTATATATCTTTGTGTGAGAAATATAATGATGAAAATATTATTATATAAAATTTCATAGTGAAAAAATATTCCTCAAAACCGTTATTATTTTTACTATAGAAGAGATTATTCTAGAAACCGCACTAAGATCATTTTTAATTCGTAATCGGAGATCTCTTCCAGTGTCCGGACGTCAAATGACTGTTGAGTTATTGCACCGCGTATCTGGCATCGGTGCGTTATGCATCGAGCGTTACGAAATCAATTTTAATTGCAGCCCACGAATATATGGAGCGAGCGCATATTGAAGTGTATCAAAAAAAAACTTGCCAAATGCAAATGACATGCGAGATTTACGCAGATTGTGAAAAGCAACTGCTTCTGAGCGATGCTCGTGAAGTGGAAAGCTTAAAATAATTAATCGTACTTAACGGTAGTGACTCGACGAGATTTAAGCCAGCAAAACGCGTTCCGCTTCCTACACGCCAGCGCGTCGAATTACGGCAAAATAAATAATATTTTTTTATGCTGCAGGAAATTGCCATCTCCCACTGTAATAAGCGGCCATGAAAGATGATGATTGTTAACCAAGAAACCAAATTATGAGCGAGAATATCTTCTCAATCTTTCGCGTATGATGCTGTAATTGTAGAGTGACTCCGATATATGCATTGCATAATATTTCACGAGACAGAATTCGATATTCATGAACGCTTATCGAAATTCGAAGGTATTTGTAAGAGATTACATTCCAGTATAAATGTGCAGGTGATTTAATACGTACGCTAAAATAATTCTGACTGATATTTCCAGCAAAAGGAATCAACGATCAATTCGTGATCGCGGCAAAACTGCGATTAGGGACGTGGAGATGGAGAGATGTGGGGTTGAGAG